TGATTGCATGTCATGGCGGAACAGAGTGATGCATGAGGAACCAAGCGTATCAACAAACGATCCAGCCAAAGTCCATGTTGACGCCAACTTCAATTGCAATTGTCTGATGCTGGAATCCTCGATGGTCGTCCAGGTGACGCCATCATCGTCCGCTAGTTCTCCGTGTGCTCTGCAACCCAAATGGTTGTTGCCCGTCGAATCAGAGCGTGAGTTGACGTCATCGTCGATGGCGTGATCTTTGTGAAGCTTACTGATTCGTGCCATTTTCCCCCGCTGATTGGGTGAAGAGAGGAGAGGGAGAGAGGGGAGGGGAGGGGGGGAGTGATGTGATCGGGATCTACCTCCTAGTTGGAATGGGCCAATAGAGGCGGTACATGGAGGGGATTTCTCGGGGTCGACGGGGAGGAAGTGGGGGTAGGAAGCGATTCATTCCTTCCATCGTCACCGGAAGCTCCTCATATCGGATGATCCGGTCGAAGTGGGGGAAGTGATCGCCGCTGCGAGGGAGGGAAGCAAGGTAGTCGCGATAGAAGGAGGAGAGGGTGCAGAAAAGCGCCGCTCGAAAGAACTCATAGTGGCGGCAGGCGGGGATCGTCCCCGTGGCAACGCAGTAAACCTCTACCACGTTGCATCGCTCCCATGCAGCGCTGAACAGCAGGAGATGCCAGCAGAACGTGGGGGCAGCGGATTGAAGGGAGGCGTGGGGTTGGACGGTGGCGAGTAGGCGGGTAGAATAGAAGTCACGAAAGAGATGGAGAAGGAAGGGATGGGAAGGGAAGGTGACGGGGGTACGGATCTGCTCGAGGGTGAGGAAATCAAGGGGTTGGCGGGACAACGTTCGAGGACGAAGGCCTATCGCCCGCATCGGTACATGGGCGAACTGGGGGACGGGTGGGGCTGGAGGAGGAGGGGGATCGACTCCGTCTCCGTCGCGCGGTACTTTAGGTGGCGGCTGCAGGGTCGCCATCTTCGGGCTTCGGCGGCTCTGGATCCCTGGTCGGATCGTAACCGATGCGCAGGCTAGCTTTGCTAGCGAACTCTAGCTGGCGCTTCCCGGTGGCGATTTCTTCGCGCTTTCGCACCGCTTTCGGATCTTCCGCCTCCGTTCTCGTACGCGTCGCTTCCTCCGGCAAGGCTTCCCACTCAGATCCGGTTTCTTCTTCCTCCTCTTCTCCTTCGCTCAGCTCGCCCTCGCTATGTTCACTATAGCTTCCCTCCTCGGATGTTTCCTCGTCTTCGTCCTCTTCGTCGTCGTCGTCGATCACCACTTCCTCTGCCCTCGGATAGAAGGTGTGAGGGATGATATCGTACGGCTTCAGATACTCCTGTCGCGATGGTAGCGTATCCTCGTCCCTAGGTTCCTCCAAACACGCAGTCCACTGAAGGTACGGATCCAATGATCGCTCGAAAATGTACAGAGCAGGACTGTCGTCACTCTGTGAATAGATGTCGGGCGAGAGATCGTCCGCCAATTGCACGATCAGTGCGATGAGCTCCAGCGCAATCAGCTGGCGGCGCCCCGACTGTACCGATCCAAAGAGAAAGCCAAGAAGATCCCTCTCCACGTTAGTCCTCCAAGCTTGGATGATTAGCAGCTCCAGATTTTCGATCCACGCAGATGCCCGCTGGTCTGTGTCCACGTCACATGTATTCTGGCCAAGCAGAAAGACAGCTCCTCAAAAGTTTCGCGCCACAGCCGCCAATGTCCAGGATTGATAAGAGGGACTGAAAGAGGCTCCAACGAGAAGGAAAGAGAAGGATGAAGATCGGATTGCCAGAAGGTGGGGAAGAGAGAGGGGAGGCCAAAGACAAAGAGAGGAGCGAGAAGATCAGTGTGGTTCATTGGGGATGTGGGAAGGGGACGAGGGTTGGGATCGCAACTGGCCGCTCGCGCGGTGATCGGCGAATATCGCCAAGATCCGGTGCAAAGATCGGGATGAGGTTATACCCCTGTCGGGCGAGGACGTGCTGCCACACGTTGGACACTTGCTCCGTCCACTTGCGCAGCGAGGTCAAGATTGCGGTATGCCACTGCGGATTGACCGAGTTGATGTCGCCGCTGAACGCCGCAACCGTGGTGACGTGGCTCGTTCTAGGACCCGCTCGCCGATGAACTGTGGTTACCTCCGCGAATACTACTGCGTGAGGACTTCCTTCGATTCGAAACGCAACGGCGGCACAGATACCTTCGTCGCAGAAGAATCGCATCAAACGCCGAAGATCCGCATTGAGCCGAGGGTGACAAACTTGCCGAATCTCTGAGATGTGGCCACGTGGCTGCAACAGCTGTGCGTCAAGATCCCGCTCTGTGATAAAACTCATGGCGAGGTGGGAGAGGAGGACGAAGGACAAGAGGGAGAAAGGGGAGAGAGAGTAAGATCGTCGTCATTCTCCTCGGTTTCCGAGGAAGAAGAGGGAGGAAGATCAGAAGGAGGAAGAAGACGGAGGTAGGAGGTATGCCGGACGATGGGGACAGAGCTATGGCTGGCACTAGCCTCAGGCGCGATGCGCACCGTGTTGGCGCCGTTGGGTCCGAGCTCGACAACGCGAAAACAGCCAGAAAACTTGGGAGCGAGTTTCCGGTCGCGTGCACATTAACGTACCTGCACTAGGTCCCCTAATTTATATTGATGCTGGGGCCCGGCATTTCCATTCCGGGCCTCGTAGCTATGGACCTGTCTACCGTGGGCCAGTTCGGTCAGCCTTTGCCTTTTTCGGGCTAGCTTCGGGACGGCCCATTCCATTAATTCGGTGTACCTTTTGGCCTTGGCCTTGAGAGCTGCACGCGTGTCTCTACCCCCTGCTTCGGCAATTTCCGAGTTACCCCGGTAGTCGACACAGGGGAGGCTATTAGTTCGAAGCTGAAAAGGGGTAAACCCCGTAGACTCGTGAGGGGTGGCCCGGTGGATCCTGACGATCTGATATACGATCTCGGGCCAAGGACGCATGTCATGTGCCACTAAGTTCCTGCGAAGGGCTGTTTTAATCATACGGTTGGCATTTTCGGCCAACCCGTTTGACTGGGACACGTGGGGTGCCGTATGTCGGACCGTGACGCCCCTTCGCGCAAGCAGTTCTTCTACCTCACCCTTGAATTCGGACCCATTGTCGGTCAGACTTTCTTCCGTATCTAGATGGGTATAGAGGAACCGTTCGATGTACGTGGGTATTTCTGCGGCTTTTCGGGTATTACAGGGATAGACTTCAATGTACTTGGAAAAATGATCCATTAATACTAGCAGGATAGAATATTCACAGCGGTTTGGGCCAGGTGGCACGTCGATATCTGTCGTGTCCATACCGACTCGCTGGAAAGGACGCTCTACTTCCGTTGGTACAATCGTGTTTGGTCCCCGTATAGGGGCGCGATCAGCGGCACAGACCAGACAGTTAGCGACAATGTATTTGACATCATCTCGTATATTGGACCAGAACCATCGGTTCTGATTTACAGTTGCCTCCGTGACACGTCTTGCGAAATGAGCGGCCTGTTCCTCGTGAGCAGATCAGATCCAATCATATCTCTGGAATGGATGGGGAACCGTCAACCACGAGCCCGATCCGTCAGTTTTACGTTTTTCCAAATGACCGTTGACCCATCGATAGTCCCAAGATCTCTCGGTCGCCCTACGTCTGTCGTGTTTGGTGAGGTGTCCCAGTGATAATCCCGCTGATTTTGCCAATAAAATTTTATCCGTCCAAACCTCCGCTCGTTGGTATTTTTCGTCATATTCAGGGTCGTCCGTACGGGCGGCCTCAAATCGAACCTCCGTGGGGAGTTCGTTCGTTCTACACAGGGGGCACCTCCATTCCTTGCTATTCGTCCGATATCAAATGCGGGCCCCGTGCACACGATTGACACACGTGGCACATTCTACCCAGTCGACGAACCCGGTTTCGAAGGGATGACAGTCGACCCCATAGACCCGTGCAATGCACGTGCAAAAATAACAGAATTTATCGGGGAGGGTGGCAAAGAAAGCTGAGGACGTGAGAGGGGCAAAATTAGTAGGAGATGAAGGGGTTGCGGAGGCAAGTGGGGTAGTCATGATGACAGAGAAGGAAGGGATGCAGAGAGGGTAGAACAGACCAATTAGTCTTCGTGTCGCTTACTGCTTCGATAAGATCTCCACTTGGCCGTACCGAGGTCCGATCTCCTGTTCGGGTTCGTTCCACGGAATCACCTCCTCACTTTTCAGAACTTTCTCAGGCCGGTGCAGTCGTGTCAGTCTGTCCGCATTCCCGTGCCTCTCGTGTTTTCGATAACGAATGTCAAAGTCCATGCTCTGCAGCACCGTTGCCCATCGCCCGATCATGCCAGAGTAATCCTTCGATTTCTTCAGAGCCAACAAGGGCTCATGGTCAGTTACCAAGGTGAACTTTCGCCCGTACAGGTAAGTGCGAAAGTGGCTGATTCCCCAGAGAGCCGCGTAGCATTCCCCCGTCGGAGCGGCGTAGTTGCGCTTGCAAGCTGGCACCGATTTGGAGGCATACTCCACCACACTCTCGAGTCCGCTTGGTCCCACCTGGGCAAGGATCGCCGAAATTGCCTCTGGCTGCCAGTCAGTGATGAGAACAAAAGGCCTTTTGGGATCCGGTCTTATAAGGACCGGAGCCGAAATGAGAGCGACCTTGAGTTTGGAGAACGCTTGATCACACTCCGGCGTCAGATCAACGGCTGAACTTTGCGCAGCAGATTCGTGAGGGGTCCCGCAATCGCCGCGAAGCCCTTGATAAATCTTCTGTAGTACGAGGCCAGGCCCAGAAAGGCGTGAACTTGCGTGATAGTTGTAGGCACCGGCGCGTCCCTGACAGCTGCCACCTTTTGTGGCTCCGGTTGGAGTCCTTTGTCTGTCACTACGTGCCCTAGGAAGGAAATGGTGGTGAGGAAAAACTGACACTTCTCAAGCGCCACCTTGAAGCCCGCATCTCGTAACGCGTGCAGTGCCCATTAGATGTGCTGCACGTGTCCCTCGTAGGAACTCGAATACACCAAGATATCATCGATGTACACAATCACGCAGTAGTTGATGATGCTCTATGCCAAACGAGTCTTTCTCACGAAATTCTGAAAAGCCATGTTCATGGCTCGCTGAAAGGTCGCGGGGGCGTTGCAGATACCCATCGGACATCGAATCCAGTGCCACGTGCCCTCGAAAAGTACAAACGCTGTTTTCGGACGATCTTCTTTTCGAACAAGAAGATGATGGAACCCATGGCGAACATCAAACTTGCTGAAAAATCGAGCACTCCCAATCGCATCCAACAACTCATCAATCCGGGGGAGGGGGTACACATCTTTGATCGTGATATCATTCAACTTTCGTTAATCAATGCAAATGCGAATCCCTCCGGCCTTTTTAGGCACGATTACTACAGGAAAAGATCAGGAAACTATGGCGGGTTCGATCCATCCATTAACTTCGAATTCTTTAATCCGCTGAAAAGCGGCCGCTTTGTGAGCTGGCGAGTATCGGTAAGGAACGCAGCTAATGGGTGGATGGTCTCCCGTGAGAATGACATGCTCGATCACATTAGTTAAGCCGATGTCATTATCGTGTATGCTCAATACTTGTGCGTAACCATTTAACACATAGATTAACGACTTTCCAAGTTCCGCGGGAACGTGACTTGGTAGGGTAATTGTTGACTCCCCGGAAATCTTAAGGGGCATATCGACCCAATCAACCGGCCATTTCCGTCGATCATAGACACTAGAGAAAACGAAACTACTGGTGCGAACAGAGAAGACAGTTGCTATCATCTGGGACTCAGCGGGGCTGATCATCTCCGTTTCTTTCGTTTCAGCATCAGTCGCTGAACCAACCGAGGTCGGTATCACAGTTGGCCCCGTTAGATCCGCCATTTCCTGCATCAGATCAGGTACACCACTTACCGACGCTTCCGCCTCTTGTTTAATCAAAGCGATGGTGGCTCCTATCGTTAGTAACGTTCTGGGCAGAAAAACAGAAACATCCAAATATTGTTCTGTTTGCTGATAACGCGTTCGTAAGGAGAGAGCTCCTTCGTACAAGGTGCGAGGGGGTTCCGAATCATCGGCCAAGTCAGATACTTGTAATATAGGTTCCCCAAGCAGGACTGAATGACTAATCTAAGTTACCGCAGGCGCAAGCGCGCTGTCTCTTTGAATCCACGTGGAAGCTTCGAGCAGGGTCGGGGCACACTTGGAATTCTTCGGGAATTTCGTGTTCAAACAGTTCAACCAGGTGCTTCCATTCATCTTCGCTAGGAAGCTCTTCTTCGTATTCCTGTTCCCTGATTCCACTATCAATATCCAGGGAAGAACACTCCTCGGGATTGATGTATCTAATCATCCCTATTTGGGCCGAGTTAGGGGTTCGTTTTATCATCCGGGTGGAAATTCGCAAAGGGACAGTTTGAGGGTTTCCCCTAGTTTGAGTGAGCACCAGTTGTTTCAAATCGAAATGCAATCGTGCGCCCACTGCCATCGCCCAAGGCAATCCTACTAGTACAGAATAGGAGCGCACATCTATCACGAGCGCGTTGACGAGGACGTGTACTCGTCCAACCTTTACAGCCACGTTTTCAATAATGCCTACGATATTCATTGCTTCCTCGTCGACGGAGACATAATTGTCTTTAGCAGATTGAGGAAGAATGAATCCGAGTCGTCTCGTCTTTCTGACAGTGTCTAATGATATGGCTACTGCTGAAGACCTTGTGTCGATAAGGGCGTTAAACGGCTTGCCCCAAATCTCGCAATCAAACTCCGCGCTTTTCCATAGCACCGACCGAGCTCGTACGAAGTGATCTTTCTCTACTAAAGAGATCGTTGCTATTCGTGTGGCCTCAGGTTCGCCGGCTTCGGGTTCGGGTTGTGCCACTTCCTCGTTTCCTTCCTTCTTCTTCAACATCCGTTGTATGCGCTGATAGGTGAAGCGCTTTTGATTTTTCTGGCAATGCTGTAAAAGTTTATCATTCGCCTCTTCAGATATGGTGAGCAGATGTCCCACCGGGATCGGAACACGAATACCTAGTTGTTTGAGTGCTTGTAGCACGTCAATCTCTCCTGTTCGGAACTGCGGACCAGGATTGGATTCGCGATCGACCCATTCGAGATCATCAGGGGCCGATCGGATTGCTCCGACCATGCCTGCAAGATGAAGATATTCAAGCGGATCGACCACGTCCGCAGCGTCAGAGGGAGAAGCTCCTGATGTCGACGCCATTGTCGTCGAGGGGGAAGGCTGCTCTGGGGCATATGTCACGAGCTCTCCTCCCTGGGCTGTATCCATCAAAGCGGCCACTCATCCTTGATTCAGGGCCACGGGGGCCGCCGTAGGTGGGGGCTGACTACGTTTTGGCTGCGAGCAGTCTCGGCTGAAATGTCCGAGCTGTTTGCAGTTAAAACACTCGATCTTTCTGGCTGGATTGGCTAGGTGAGGGAACTGGGGTGCGTACACTGGAGCAGGCGGGGCAGGTAAGAGCGGAAATGATGCGGGGGCTGGCCGAGCAGAGGCCGGGTTAGGCTTGATTAGCCTACTCATTATCTGTTCCATCCAATCCATGTGAGCGGCTTGCATTTTGATCAAGTTGCTCATCCATTCGGACTGCTTGGTAGTGGCCGTATGGATCATCTGGGCAAGGTGTAAGTTAGTTATGGCCGGCGAGGAGGGTTCSGGTGAGATTCCGCTTTTAACGACTGCGATCGATTGATTCATCGGGGGAGGGGAAAAAGAAGCAGGCGGGGTATCGGAAACGATTCCGCCGGGAAGGTCATGGTAGGGGCGGGGATAAAACCGTTCGACCGCCTGCAACCATGATCGCCTTTTAGCCGTTACATCCCGTATGGTATCTGTAATGTCTTCGTCTCCCTGGCTGATATACTTTTTTGTATCAGCCAGGTCCAGTTCCAATGCTTTAGTGAAGATGGCCGATAACTGATGTGTTTTCGGCGGGACCTTTTTCTGCAGTTTGCCTTTCAATGTAGGACTTCGTAGATGGTCAACGAACAAATCTCGAGCGGATTTCTCGTCACGCCCGGATTTGTCCAGAGTGATTTGAAATCGATCGACGAAATCGGGTAACAATTCCCCTGGTCCTTGTGGCCGATTTTTGAGCACGTACCAGGCGGCATCTTCACTGACCGTATCGAATCGAGCCAAGAAGGCTTGCTTGAAAGTATCCCAATCTACCCACGTGTGTTTTCTAAACCAGTCATGCGACGTATTGCGGAGTAGCAATGTCAGAACGCGAGGAAGATCGRCTGCGSYGTAGTTTTGAGCTTCTACAGCTTCCAGCCAAGCCTCGGGATGGGTATGATTAGGGAAGAAAGGGAAGGGGGCGGGGATACTAACGATCACCCTAGTACCGTCCACCATTGGTGCTGCGGGTGCAACCGCACCAGACTGAGACCGGGTCATTGGGCGATCCCGACGAGCTAGTTGAGGGCCTCTCCTACCTCTCGCCAGTTCGACTTACTATCATCAGAACCGACACGTTTCGGCTCCGATACCAACCTCACGCCCTGTGCCGTCTTTCTTTCGGAGTGTTAGGCGTGCGGAAAGAGGCCCAGAAAAACAGCAAGATGGGGTGTGCCAAGGATTTTTGGAAATTGAGTGTGGGGACACAGATGGA